CTCAAAACTTTTTCAAATTTGAGATGTGCAGCTTCCCTCCAGCTCTATTTGATTCCTCGCTTCTTCTTAGGAAAGCGAATAAGCCCGTTTTGGCTGATGCAATCTGGTCACAGACAAAAAATGGTGAATCAGTAGAGCCGTCTGGAAAAGTCAGYTATTTCCTTGATGGTGGCGCACTTTTCCATCGCGTTCCCTGGCCACGCAATGCCACCTATAGTGAAATTGTTTCACTCTATGTTCAGTACGTGACTCGAAGATACAGTCRGGCCACAATCGTCTTCGATGGCTATGAAAGYGGCCCAACCACCAAGGACTGTGCGCATCATAAAAGACATAAAAGAAACGGCGTGTGCACTTGGTCCTGRAACCTGTAGAAACWTTCTGTTTGTACATGCCATTTTAGGGTGCGATACGACATCTGCGTTGTATGGCCTTGGGAAAGGGCAAGCCCTTAGAAAGTTGGCAAGTGACGACCGCTTCGGTAATCAAGCAGAGATCTTCGATAAAGCAGATGCTTCAAAAGATGAAAYTATCGCAGCTGGCGAAAAATCTCTTGTTCTCCTGTACAAAGGTCAGTCCGATGATACTTTGGATTCACTGCGTTATGCGAAATTTTGTCAAAAGATCTCYACAGGCAACTCTTTTGTGCAACCTGAATGCCTCCCACCGACATCAGCAGCCRCCAGTTATCACAGYCTGAKGRTATATCATCAAGTTCAGGGATGGAAAGGGGTGGCGCTTCCTACTGAAAACTGGGGCTGGAAGCTAGAAGATGACAGATTGTTACCTGTGAGAACAAGCCTTCCAGCAGCTCATGCGTCTTTGCTCGAGATGGTAAGGTGTGGATGCAAGACAGACTGCAGCACCCAAAGATGTTCATGCAGAAAACAAGGGCTCGAATGTTCCGCTGCGTGTGCTTACTGTAGAGGACAAAGCTGTTGTAATTCCTCACAACTAGATTTCAGTGAAGGAGATGAATGAGAGGTCAAATGAAGCCATAATTTTCCTCGACATGAGATTGATTATAACRCTTATGATGTATATGTACAGGTTCTTAAACATCTGTTAATTATAAGCAGAGTCTGTACATTTTTTAACTTATTCTCGTTATTTTGTGGCCCATTTGATTGGGAAGCAAAGTGTATAAAATATGTTTATATATTTTTACCTCTGTAGTAACTTAACTTTAGCACACTAGTCACTTAAAAGTGTTTTTTTTTTCAAGTTGTGGGTACCTTGTGGTAAATTCGTTATTCGACATTTGACCATGCTCTACGGCAGAAATGTTTCCAAATATTTCATATGTAACTCAAACAGCCCCTATCTATTACTTGACAGGAAAAGAAATTAGTTTAAAACGTTTTTTCCCTCAAATACTAAGATAACTAAAATTTTCCCGTTGTGGGAACCCTGTGGTAAATGTCGATTTAAATTATGCCCAGTTTGACTATGTTCCACCACAGGAATTTTTGCGAATTTTTAGTATGTTACTTAGCTAACCTCTATCTATTGTTAAGCAGTGAGAAAAATTCTTTTACAATTTGTTTGACCTTAAATCACAGGATGACTGGACTATAAGGATATCGGCGCTATATAAATAATACGTATTATTCTTATTAAAATGCTTAGGCTCCCGAGATATTTTTATTTTTAACTTAAGCTTAAAAGTTCGTATTGTGTCACGAAATAGCGGTTTCGCATCTGAATCGATAATTTCCAAGATGGTCGCCTACGTACTCGTCAAATGCCCGCCCGGGCTCCTAAATCAGAGTCAAATTCCCCACTGTACGGAGGTAAACTCGAGTCAAATGCCCGGGGTTGCCCGGGGGGGGGGGGGGGGATGGGCACCTCATACATTAATATAATGACAATATTCATATTCAAAATGGTTTCAAAACTCCTGTTGAGAAAGGTCATAGAGATGGATATAACCTTAACTAGCGCCGAASCTTACCCAAAAGAAAAGATGAAGGATAAGTCTCCATCATACATCTGGGGATACCTTGATCTTTGGATGCTCCATTGATCAAGCTCTCGTTAAAGGCACAATAACTTGAAAAAGCTTTCATGATGCCTCCTTAGGCGAATATTCCTGTTAAGTAATGTGCATATCATTCCAAGTATTAATAATTTCACAAGCATCTCATATAATTTAAATCAAAAATTGAAAAGCTATGCAGTTTTTGCTAAATGTGAGTAAACTAATTCAGCTTCAAGCTCAAATCAAAAAAGTTTCCAAGCATAAGTAAGCTTACTTAACTTAAAACGCTCTTTGATTCTTTAAACAATGGAACTGTGAAAAATTTTCAATACAAGTGAAAAGCCACTGCTTACCCCAGAATATAACCTTTCCAACTTTATGAAATGAATAATCTGATAGCATAAAGCACATCTCCTCGTTCCTCGCTTGCTTAACAGTTCGCTTGCTTTCGTTCCCAGCTTTCCTTGATCAAGTAACCAACCGCCTAGACTCTACTCTAGCAGCCTAGCTATCGTTGGTGATCACCTTTTCCCTTGTCGAAGCTCAACTAAACATTTTTATGTTAGAGTGTCCAGATRCTCATCATATCCCGCAATATTCGGACTTTTTCTGCAAAGTTCCACCTCCACATCAATACCACAGGAATCCCGAGTACTAAGAATCTGAAAAATTTCTCACTCTTGGCAAATGGGTCTACTCCGCCTAGAAAGCTAGTTAGGCGAGGTATTACACGTAATATTTCAATGGTATCTTGATAAACATCCATTCTTCAGCGGATATGGCCTTGTACAGACTTAGCCAAAGATTTAGAAGGCGCTTCAAGCCAAAAGAAACAGACAGTAGACAAGATAAGGACACGCTTGAGTTCAAGATTTTGCTGTTGGATGAATCGGACCTGACATTCTACATCCATGTAAGATGCCACTGACGTTTTTAAATGATTTTTAAATATTCGATGTTTTATTACCATACCTGTTAATGCAGCAAGTTAAGGAAACTAAGTTGTTAAGTTATACTTAAGTTTTTTCATTGTGACTAAGACTGATTGGATATTAGCTTATCGTTGCTGTGCTTGGCTTTGACGTGTTTGTCTAAAATAATCATCACAATAGAAATGATTAAAACAATTTCGCAAAACATGATTATGAAAATACAAAATATCGTAGACAGGGGAAAATGTTATTTTTGTAAATAACTGAAATATGTTTATGACTTTGTTCATGTGTAATTTTATACAGCTAATTCAGCTAATTCAGCAATTGCCCTTACTGATATCGTAAACTAACGAGTAGGTACTGGGCACACTCATACA